TATAACAATACCTATTGTCTAACTCAATTTTAGATGCTTTTTTTTTTTTTGCTTTCAGGCAGTGGTATCAACGTCTGCAAGAATTGTCAAAAGCAGAGAGAGCTTTTATCACGCTTCCATGATTGTCATCTTGGCTTTTTGATACTACCACCTCCCCATAGGTTGGAAGATTAGCAATTTCCAAACTGAATTCTTTGAGAATTCTTGGTTGGATGTCTTCAGATCTCATTATTAACAATTAAAAAATTAATAAAAATCTTTTTTCTTCTGTTACTATTTAACTTTCTAAAGCCCAGTTTTATTTGGTGATTGCTTCCATGCCTTGTATTTTATTAAAACAGCCAAACTTTGTGTGAATCAGCAGTTCTCCCACAATTCACGCATAGTTACATTCCCTGAAAACTGGGATTGGTGGTTTCCTATTTTACTTCTGAATCCTAATCTGACCAGTTAAATAGCACAGTATTGTTAAAAGTTTTAGGATACACTTAGGGAGTCTAAGCTCTTCGCCTGAAGATGATTTAGGAGGACCTTTTTGGGTGGAGGAATGGTATACAAATAAATTGAATACAGTTAGTTATATTACTAAATTTGCCCTTTCACATAAAATCCTGAAGACAGTCTAATATGCTGAACATTCTTGAACTAAACAAGTTGAAGGACAGAGATATATTGGAATAACACAAATTAAATCTGCACCAGGCCTGAGAAAATGAGCAAATGCTAAAAACCCTTTGGGAAATTTTGATAGCAGCTGGTGCTTCCTGTTCCTGCATGTATGTGTGTGTGTGCGGGTGTGTGTTTCTTTCCTGGTTTACTGTCCAAGAGGAGTAATTCCATCAGGCTAACACAAAATACAAATGTTCATATGGCTTCTTTCCACATGAAACGCCTATGCCTCCCTTGCATAGGAATATAATCCTATTTAGGATCTATTTAATCCAGGTTTTGCTCACCAAAGTTGATTTTTAAAATATGCTGCTTTACTTGCCTGTAATTCAGAAGATAATAGTTAGTAATTAATAGTACCATCCTAAGTGAATTGTCCACTTCCCTTTTAAGACTGGCTATATTTGGTGACTATTGTCATACTTGATAACAATAAATTCCATAGTTTAATTGAATTCCCGCAGGCTTAGTTTCAATGCAGGATCTTAAATTCTAAATTAAATTAGAATAACTAGAATGGGAGGGAACATATACTGTATTTAGGCTATCACAGCCATAGTCCAATCTATATCTCCATAGAACATAAGTCATGCATGTTCTATGAACATTTTTAAAGTGCTTCCAGCAGTCGAGACATCTCTGAGTTCTTTTCTACCGTAGGTTCAGGAAAAAGAAAAAACTGCATAAAGCATCTGGCTAGAAAGCAGGAGATAGTGAGTTCAAGTCCTGCCTTAGTCATGAAAACATCTGGGTGACTTTGGGCCAATCATTCCCTCTCAGCCCACAGGGTCCCTGTTGTAGAGAAAATAGGAGGAGGAAGGCCTGTTGGATATGTTTGCTGCCATGAGTTGTTTGTAAAAATAATAAAGGTAGAATACAAATAAATAAAAATAAAAAAGACATCCTGTTTAAATGAAAATTACTTTTAAAGATAGGCAAAGGAAACTGTTAGCATAGTTAAGGGGCTCTTTCAGGCAGTAGTTATATTCTGCATTGGCCTACCCATTTTTTGTCCAAAATCTTATTATTAATCCTGACTGGGATCAAATTTAAACAAATAGATGTAATTAATAAGAAAAAATCTAAACAGTTTTTCCACCTTTTAAATGTGTCCAACTTTTTATTAGTTCAGTTTATACAAAGTGACACATTTGTGTTGGCAGTTTCTTTGAATTTTCTAGCAGAGCATTCATCACAATGAAAGGTCCTGGAGTTACATATAGAAAAGTTCTAAAGCAAGGACAAGCAGTCCTTTCCCTTTATGGGTAGTCTGCTGTTGCAAGAGAATGTCAGTAGTGGGCAGGGCTGAAATAAATAAAGTAACATCAAAAAGTGGGTGGAAATATGCACATTGGTAATATCTATCTTTTTTTTCCCATGGACAATATTATGTGGAAGAGGCAAATCACAGTGATTGTGAAAGTGGGCTGAAGGGCACTTGTAACTTGTAAAGCTATGAGTTGCATTAGCATAGTTGGCAATGTGGGAAATAATAGTTCGTCTTCATTCTGGATTCCATGTCTAGTATTTAACAATGGACTCAATTGCCAAAGGAAATAGTGGAGATATGTTCAGGCTGTGTGTATATTGCCATCTCTGACACCAGCTTTAATTTAGATTTCTGCACTGAATAGGAGTAGGAGGTGGGTTTTGATGACTTAAATAACCCATTCCAGTTCAGATTCTTTGATTTATGGATTTAGGACTGTTGGTCATCATCTCCGCCTTATAGAGAAAAGCCATGTGTTAATCTCTGTGAGTCTGTGATCAGTGAGAATTATGCTATCCATTTTTCATGGGCACAATATTACCCAACCAGTACAGTACATTATTTCCAAATACATTAATTTCCCCCCAGAACAGCTCCCTTTTAAGATTTAAGGGCAAAATATTGTTTTGAAAAAAAAAAGGCAATCTATCACAAATTAAACCTCCTTGCCTCCTCTTATTCAACATTCCTTCTTTCCAAAGTTATATGCCATTTATCACAGAAGGGCATGAAATCCATACCTAACACAAATTATCCTTCTACAGATATGACTGTCCAACCTAAAATAAGAAATATGGAGGTGAGCTGGAGATTTTGTAACATCCTGTGTTATACAATCTACATGTAAAGGTAGTGCAATAAATGAGAGAGAAAAAGTATTACTTCTATAAGGACTGTGATGTCACTGTTGTGCATAGAGAGCCAAACCCTTTTTTTCCTATGTGAATTTGTTGGTAGGAATGAATTCCTAGCAATCATTTTATAATTCTGTGAGTGTATAGCAGAACACTTTGTGTTTCTGTCAGAGTAATTGTAGCTCTGATAGTTACAGATGATTTTTATTCAACCCTGGAGTCATATTTAAATTTACATAAAGCTAAAGGCTATTTATATTCTTGAGCAGGAATTGAAATGGCATTGAACAAGCTTTTCTAATGAAGAAGAAGGAAATAGAGGGACACAGAGCTGAGTTCTCACTGTTTAGATTTTAGAGTTTAGATTTTAATTTATACGTCAATAAGCAGACTCTGTTAATTTATCAAAGTACTTCCACTGAAGAATATTTAACAAAGTAACTATGCAACAACAAATTTACAAGAAGATGGAGAATTTCCCTCCACTTGACAGGATTATAGTAAAAGCAATGCTCTTTGATTGGTTGCTGATGATTCAGAAAAGAAAAGCCAGCATATTGTCTTTTGGCAGGATAGTTAGAATGGACCTTGGCCTCTATTCTGAATAAGCAATGACTGTATCTTCCAACTACAATGTGTGTGGGTGTTTGTGTGCAGTTAAGGAGGGAGAAAAACGCTTCAGCTGGGTTTTTCTTTCACATTACAGAAAATGATGCAAAACTATGAATGAGCAGCAAAGTGATAATAGAAATACTGGAATTTTTCCCACCTACTAGACAGTCTGGTATTTTGTGAAGTAATATATCAGTTTCTTTATCACTGCGTACAGTGACAAAAATTCCTCAGTATCTAAAAAAAAAATTCTTAGCAAAGTCTCGCTAGTGGAGTTTGTTCCCATGTGGTGCTTAGCATTATGACAGGATGCCAAATTTAAGATAAGCTCCATAGAAAGAGATTTATCTTCAATGAACACTCCAAGCTGGAATGCGAAATGGGGGGAAAAAACATTTATAGAACTCAGTAACACATTTCACTTCCAGCGAATTGCTCAGGGAACTTCCCCAGATATTCCTGAGAGGAAATGTGTCAAGGAATCTGGGTAAGGGAATTATTTAAGGATGGTAAAAGGAGGATGAGTTGAAGAAGTGTTTATGGTTGTAATAATTGGAGACTTCCAAAGGCGGTTTTCCACATTTTATGATTGTTTTGCAATTATTACTTCATCTGATATGGGGATATATGTAACTGTGGAGAAAATATGCCTGTAGAAATATATTGTCATGATATCATTTCCCCCTAACATGATACCAGTATTAACTTTCAATTGCAAAAAACAAAAACAACTCAGCATAAAGGTGTTCTCATGTGTAGTTATGAGATTTGTCTAGAATGTTAGTCTTCATGTTAGGCATGGCATTAAATCTTAATACTACAAATACCCAGTCCTTTATTTAGGAACTTGCTGACTGCAGAAGCTTCACAAACACAACTAGCTGAATTGACGTATTTTGCCAAGAAAGATGACTTATGTACATAGAAGATCTGCCTACCGGAGAACGTGGTAAACCAGCTCATCTGCTCATTGCTTACACAGCAATTCTTTCAGGCCCACAAATCTGCATCCCCAAATTTCTAGCTTCAACCCTTACAAATAGGGGTATTAAATCTGAGGTTTACTTAATGTACTACTTTTTCTTATATGTATATTAATATCTATATACTAAAACCATAAAATGATAATGTTGTCAAAATTTCAGCTCATTATATAAACAGGAACACATAATTTATGCTTACATTCGAGAAAAGGAAATATAGCTAAGTATAATTTACACTAACACATTTACTATCCTTTTCTGTCCTTTTCTATATTATGAACCATCCGTTCATAAACTTCTTAATTTTTATTTGCTGTTACCATTTGTCTTATAAACTTCATTTTTCTCTTTTTTGCGACTCTTATGAGCTTCATCCAAAACTACAACTTTTTCAGGCATCCTTTTCCTTTCAACCTATTCACATTTCTTTCATATGTTTATCACGTGATTCTCAAAGTACTTCTTTTGTACCAATCATTCACTTTCCCCTTCAGTGCACACTTAATTACAACTTCCACTCCCAATGCATTCATTATGTTTCCCCAGTATGCATAGCTGGATATGAATGGATAAGATTTCTGAATAGTAGAATATCAATGATAGAAGCAGGTCTAATCAACTTTAATCAATTGATATGTTTATTCATAAAAAAATATATACAACAGCAGAAGTGAAAACCAACCAACATATGGGCAAACAGCTTGATATCGGCTCAACCATAGACCCAGGTTCCCAGGATCAGTGATGGTCCAATAAGGTAAACTAGACTAAGAAACCAATGTCATATAGGTCAAGTTTATTGCACCAGGAACTGTTACAGAATCTTGGAAATCTGAATGTTCTTTCCCTTTCCTCACTTTTTTTTTTGTGTGTGTGTGAACTAGAAAGGCAATAGGAGGACTCCCAAATTGCACATAGAATCCATCTGTGGCAATCGGTGGACCAATGTGGAGAGCTATGAGGAAAAAAAACAATAAAATTTAACCCAAACTACATTGCTATATTTAATCCAAGCTATATTTAAAAGAAAACTGGTACAAAATGTTCTATATGTTGAGAACCAATTTGTGGTTAAGTGCTTAAGATGCTGGCCTAGAAATCAAAAGAAAGTAAATTCTAGTTGCATCTTAAACACGAAAGCTGACTGGGTGACTTTGAGCCAGCCACTCTCTCTCTCTCCAATCCACCTCACATGGTTGTTGTTGCAGGGAAAACAGGAGAATGAAGGAGTATTATATAGGTTTGCCACCTTGAGGTACTTATTTATATACTAATAAAACTCTTGTGTTTGTAACCCTTAACTAAGTGAAATAGTGTACTATAAGGCAAAACATTTTCAACCAAGGTACTTCAAATGGTGTAATTTACAGAATATGTCCAAAATCTAAGTTGCATAACTCCAGTGGAATTAAAATTTGGCAAATGTTATAAAGCACTTTATGATGTACAATTATCATAAAGCAAATATCATAGAACATTTCCTGTGGCCAGCTCTGGTTGACTATGCTGTACAGTTCAACATGGACTACTTTCAAGGCAGATACATCACTGAATATCTCACTGAATTTTTAAGAACTTTGTTCAAAAACATTAGAAGCTCTTGCCATTGTTGAAGGCACTAAGAAATCTGACAAGATTTCTTAAGCCCAAGGAATTAAGAGTTTAGTACAGTAATAAAGGTGGGTAAAAAAAATCTCTAAATTAAATAAATACACAGTGGATGGTACTGTACATATTATTCGATCTACAATCACCTAGATAGATAAAGCATATAACAACAAATGCCAAAATAAAGAAGGAACATTTTACTGGATATCCACAGTCATGCAAAAAAACTCAAAAGTATTGGAAAGAAATACATTTTAAAAATCCAACAATTAATTAAAAAAACTGAAGCCATATATAGGCATAAATCCAGAAAACATGAATGAAAAATACTAGAGTTTACCAAGATACATATTACCTAGCACTGTGATAGTGAATCTATGGCACGCGTGCCAGAGATGGCATGCAGCGCCCTCTCTGTGGGCATACAAGCTATCGCCCCAGTTCAATTCTGTCGCGCATCTGTGTGCGCCTCCCGCCAACCAGATGGTCTTTGGGTCTCTGCAGAGCATGCACGCAGGATGTGGGGGGGGGGGGATGTGGTGCATGCGTGGGGCATGTGCATGCAGGGGATGTGTGCGGGGGGCCCTCGCATGCGCAGGGGGGTGAGATACATGCACGGGGTCTACACACATTGCATTTGGGGGTTTGCATTTTTGTACTTGTATTTAAAGCTTGAGGAATGTGCCTTTGATCTGCCTGCTTGGATTATATGGGCTACCATATTTCATTAGAAGGTATTCAGATGGTCCTGTCAAAGCAGACAGGACTATTTTATCTTGGTCCCTGGTCCCTTAGATTTTCAGGGATATTGGCCACTTCTATTATTTTACTCCTGATTTTGTTCATTGTGACGCAAGATTCTTACAAATCAAAGAAAGTAGCCTTCTTTAAAAGGGATTGCAATGCCCAAAGACCTTTCTCTTACTCAGACTTTTATTTCCCAATCCGCTCTCAACCTTCTTGATCCTACACGTTGATTTGACTTCATTCTATATGTCATACCTCTAACATTGGCTTTAATTTCTGAAACTCAGAAGGCAGAATTATTCTTTAGCAGGTGAAGCAATTTCATATCTATAGGAACAGGATGCATAAGGCAAAGTTCTACATATGGCTTTCAAGCAACCTCCACAATTCAACCTTGTGAGGGGAACTGCCCAAAATAATTATTTTTATATTTCTTATTCCCTAAAGGAGGATGTCTCATAGTTCTGCCATGATAGCTGGTCAGCTGAATATTTTAATTATTTAAAATTATTCACTTCCTGGTCCATAATTTCTCCATATTTGAGTGGATATTAAGACCTAATTTTCTCCTTGCCACACCTATTGTACCAAGCATTCCCTTCCCTTTCTGAATGAACCATGGGACACACTTTTCTTGGGTTTTATTTTGTAGCACGGCCTAAATGGTAATTCCGTCCCCCCACTAAATTGATTCAGTTTATTTCTGTCATGGTTTCCTTTGAACTTCTGAGCTGTGGTGAAATCTAAAATTTGTTACTACCGGTTCTGTGGGCGTGGCTTGGTAGGGTGGGGTAATGTGACTGGGTGGGCGTGGCAATTTTTTTTTTTTTACTTTTAAAACCATTTTTTCTACAACCTCTTCTGCAAAGAGGTTGTAAAAAATGCTTTCAAAAGGCTCTGACGATCCCAGCTGAGTTGCCTGATCAGCAGAGGCTTTTTTTCTTTTAAAAGCCTCTGCCGATCAGGCAACTCAGCTTGGATCGTCAGAGGCATTTAAAAGAAAAAAAGCCTCTGCTGATTAGGCAACTCAGCTTGGATTGTCAGAGGCTTTTAAAAGAAAGAAAGCCTCTGCGGATCAGGCAACTCAGCTTGGATCGTCAGAGGCATTTAAAAGAAAAAAGCCTCTGCCGATCAGGCAACTCAGCTGGGATCATCAGAGGCTTTTAAAAGCATTTGACGATCCCAGCTGAGCCATGCGCTCATCAGAGGCTTTTTTTTTTAACCTTTAAAAGCATTTTTTCCCCTGAAGAGTTTGTAGAAAAAATGTTTTTAAAAATTAAAAAAAAAAGCCTCTGATGATTGTGCAGCTCAGCTGGGCGGGGGGGAGGGATTTTTGCTACCGGTTCTCCGAACCACCCACCTCCATTGCTACTGGATCAGGCAATCCGGTCTGAATCGGGAGCATTTCACCGCTGCTTCTGAGAAAGCTCAACAGCTACCTTTGAGCAAGACTTTAATTGCTATATAAACTATTAGGAAGAAAACTGGCCTTTTGCCTATGATTGAATTCACTTATAGTAACTGAATTTATTTTTCCACTTCCATGTCACATTTCAGGCCTCAGATGACTACCATCTATCCTTCCACTCTCTCTAGTAACTTTAACAACACAGAAACTCCTGAAGGAGCAATAAGATCTTAACAATCTTCCTACAAATAAAATGCTGACTGACATCACCACAAAGGCCACCTACATTGCTATTGGAGATCACATATGCCTTTCCACAATTTTTTCAATCTAGATAACCATCCAAAATGCTGCCTGCCAGGTTTATTTCACTGTTATTTGTAACTGCGCTAGTTAATTCAGTCATATTTCATTGAAGGTTTCCAGCTGTAATGAAGATTGTTATCTCTAGAAAAATGCTAGAACCTCCACTCCCACTTTCACTTTATATAGGAGAAGAGTAACACTAGTGTTTTAATTATAAGATTCAGCCTTCACTACATACATATCTGGGAAAGGAGGCAAGTGGTGAAATCACTCAAATGCTCTGAGTTAAAATACTTTTGTCAGATGTCAGGATGAAGTACATATTGGCAGTATTTGAATGATGAAGCAATCATCCATGTTGTCATTTTGCATAATTGTGGTTTGCTATAGATGCCATTGGCTTTGTAAGCAAATCACATTCCATATTTCAAGATTCTTTAAAATCTAAGATTTGTTCAGCTACACCAGCCACACCTGAATCATTTTTCCACTTTTCTACAGTGTTTTCAATTTCTGTTTTACCACCTTCTTCTTAGATACTAATAGTATCAAGGTACACTGTGCCGTAGTGGCACAGTGGTTAGAATGCAGTACTGCAGACTAATTCTGCTGACTGTCGGCTACCAGCAGTTCGGCAGTTTAATTCTCATCGGCTCAAGGTTGACTCAGCCTTCCATCCTTCCGAGGTCGGTAAAATGAGGACCCCGATTGTTGGGGGCAATATGCTGACTCTGTAAATCACTTAGAGAGGGCTGTAGAGCACTGTGAAGCAGTATATAATTGTAAATGCTATTTCTCCTTGTTGGTTGACTGTAAACTGCAGCCTTGCAAAGATGGCACTGAGGCTAGCCATGAGCCTTGGTCAAAAAACTGGTCTGTCAATTTTTATCTGTAGGAGAAGGAATGGCAGAATCTGGGGCAAAGTGAAAAGAGGGATCAGCCTAGAATCCCTACATAACCACATGTGATCAAAATCAAACCCTCCCTTGAGTGCTGTTGACCCTTATCTAACTCTAATCAGGTGCTGACTGTCAGTTGAGAAGATTCCTGTGCATAGGCTTTTAGCAATAAATCATCTTATTTGAACTTTCACAAATGGACCTGGTCTTTCACATCTGACAATGACATAACCAATGGATTAACAGCCATAAAGAATGCTGAACAATGCTAGGGTGTCCCCTGGGACAGTCCAGGTTGGCCTCAACTCACCATCACAACAAGTGGGCAACGGCTACTCGTTCAAGGATAGAAACTGCTAAAGAAAGAAGATACAAACATTAATAGCATTTGTTTAAATTCCACATTTTGTCACATCAAATCATTCTCACAGAAATCTCTAAATTATCCTTCCAGTCACTTTAGTTTCATCACAAATCAATTTCCCCCCCAATTTTATTCTTAATTCCATACTCTATTGGAGTCTCTATGTTTGGGCTTCTCTATCCATTTACAAAACATTGTAAATGCTGTGCATTTTTTCTGTCTCTTTTAATTTTAACATTCTTCACACTCTTTGACAACATTCTCTGACCAATTTTATTCTCTGTACAATCAGTTTTCTTATTGATTGATTATTTTTGGTGGGCTTATAAGCAGTTAGCTTGGTATTAAAATGATTATATATATAATAATAGTTCATCCAAGGACAACTTATTCAAAACCAGTAACCACTAAAAATAGGTGCATATAGTATTCTGGCCTAATGCTTGAGGAAAAAAGCAAGTTTTCGATGTCTTACTGTGTTTCCCTGAAAATAAGACCCTGTCTTTTATTTTTTGGAACCCCAAAATAAGTGCTTGGCCTTTTTTTCAGGGAGGTCTTATTATTTTGGGGTGCATGAAGCAAGACAGGGCTCCTCTTGCCATCTTACCCAATTTCTAGTTCTCTCCCTCTAACCCTAACCAGAGGAAATGGCGGGGACCGGCTGCACATGTGGTTAAATATTTACAAGAACAGCTTATTTTCGGGGGGGGGGGGCTTATTTTAGCACATGCGCTCAAAAGCCCGATTGGGTTTATTATTAGGGGGATGTCTTATTTTTGGGGAAACAGGGTACAAAAAGACAACAAAGTCATGGCCCTTTTAATCTCACAGAGTATGCTGCTTTACAGAGCAGGCACAGAGCAGAAAAGACACATCTCAATTTCATCAGATGACATAATTTAATAGAAGAAACTTCTATTCTATTGGATCTTATAAGATGAACAGAAATCATTGATAGGATCTCAAATAACCTAGTTCTGTGCTGTGAAGAGGTATATAACGGATAACAGCAGCTTGAATTGTATCAAGAAGCCTACTAGAAGCCAGTGTAGTTCATGAAGCAGCATCAGAGGTGGGTTTCAGCAAGTTCTGACCAGTTCTGGAGAACCGGTAGTGAAAATTTTGAGTAGTTTGGAGAACAGGTAGTAAAATTTCTGACTGGCCCTGCCCCCATCTATTCTCTGCCTCCCAAGTCCCAGCTGATTGGGAGGAAATGGGGATTTTGCAGTATCCTTCCCCTGGAGTAGGGTGGGAATTGAGATTTTTACAGTATCCTTCCCCAACCATGTCCACCAAGCCACGCTCACCAAGCCATGTCACGCACACCAAGCCACGCCCACAGAACCGGTAGTAAAAATTTTTGAAACCCACCACTGAGCAGCATGGTGTTATATTGGCATATGTTAAGTATCCACACCATTCTACTAATTTGTAGCTACATGCAGTATATTGACACACACTCAGAACCTTAAATATTCAGACTTGAGTATTGCTTAATATTGAATATTTTAGAAGTGATTGTTAGATGTGTCATTTATTATTTCATTAAAAAAAACCATTTAGTTACCCTTGCTCTTTTTGTTCTTTCCTATTTCCGGTAATTATGTTAGTTCCTTATTTTCTTAATGTAAGAATATAAGGACTAGTGGGCAATCTAATCAAGGATTCTATTCTTACAGTGGCCCTTAATGGTGACTCATGGGAAGCCCACAAACAGAACATGATGGCAAAGTGCTTCTTCACAATAAGGGCTTTCAGAGGCAAATTGCCTTTGACACTGGAAGCCATCATAACCAGTAGCTGTTAAAAGATTGTCCTCTCCCCCCACTACAATTAATTTATCTCGGTTGGTAGCTATCGAAGGCATTCAAACTGGTAGCCAGCTAGTTGTCTACAGGAAGGATATGAACAAAACAAGAATGCAACTGCAGTCTCCAAGGAATTTGTGTCCTTAATTTTAGAGCCTGTGAAAATAAAACATTAATTTTATTAATAAAAAATAGCACTTGGACTGCATGCTTGCGTGCTTGCATTTCTTTTTATAAAAGCAGGTCAGTAATCCAGGGTTCATGAAATATTCTCCTTTCTAAAATATTTATCTGTAAGGCAATTAACTTGTATTCTTGAGCAAAAAATTCTCAAAGAGGTTTGACCTCTTTGGCTAACTATTGTGGTTTGTTAAATTCCCATATTTATGACTGAGAGTTATAACTCTACGATCAAATTCCACTCAATTTCCTCTGAATATTTTACTAAAACCTAAAATGACAAAAGACTTTCTTTGACTATAAGGAAGAGTGTGTGATAAAAGGTTGTTAAAATTATTTTCAAATATAATATTTTCAGAAATTTAGATTTAGAAGGAAGGAAGGAAGACAACAGGAAGTATCTCGTTCCAAGTAAAAGGAAGCCAGATGTCATTTGTTTATTGACCGAAATATGGGAACTTGGACCACAGAGCATGACGCTGAAACTCCATAAGAAAAACAAACATGATAATTTAAAATAATTAGATTGCAGTTACTGTAAAAGCACTCTGTGGAATGAGGTCTTTCTTTGGAAAGGAATAGAAAAATAAGGGAATACAGAGAAAACAAATTGAAAAAAGAGATACCGAAATATATACACAAATGTCTTTTGATAAATTAATAACTCTTGACTTCTTTCCCAATCCTTTCCCCCTCACAATACTATTTATCCTACCAATGATTTATCTCTCTCAAATACACATTACTTTTACTCCAAATTCTTTCATTATTAGATGCTGACTCTTCCTACTCTTTTCTCAAATGCTCCATTTGATTTCTGGCTTACTATTAAAAGCATTCTGCAATATCCAGGAGCCAACATTGTGTGAAAGGCACTGCACTTTATTGATGCTGAGAACTAGGAAGGCCTGATCCTAGCTGTAGCTTTATTATCATGATTTTTTTTTTTTTTAAAAAAAAGATAACTTGTAAATTAGTAATTGTCATCGACCACAGACTTAGTCTGGTGATCAAGGTTGGCCATCCTCCTAATGGCTCCTCAACCGAGAATCATGCTAAAAGCTCCAGCAATGCCAAGTAGTATTTATCACTTTTCCAACCCCTTATTTTCCCAAGTTGGAAGGAGAATATGAGATGACCTAAAGTAGCAAGTGTCATCCTTGTGCTTTTATCTATCTTGTCTTTTCCCCAAGGAAGATAAGAGGACATTTAGCATTTATTCATATGAAGAAAATCTGGCTCTCCGTTTTGCTTTGCATAAACAAAAGTATTCCATTGAGATTGCCCCACACAAACCATTCAGGTTATAGGGGCAACCAGCACACTTTGGGCTAGAACTGATAGGTGACACAGAAAATGATGATGAGAATGGTGATTTTTGCAGAGCAGAGATTTTCCTCACTAAGGATCAACTTAATCTTATCCAACAGAGCATGAGTGGAATTATTCAGATTCGGATTGCCATCTTTATTGCAGATCATGTTTAAGAATATTCCTGAAAACTTCAGCAATATTTCCTACTGTCTATAGCTGTGTTTCTCAACTTCAGCAACTTTAAGATGTGCTTACAGGATTAGGGAATCCTGGAAGTTGAATCCCAGATACCTTAAACTTACTGAGATCGACATATACTGCTAAATAGGATACTGTTCTATTTGGCAGTCTTTAAATGTGCTGTCCATTTAAAGGGCTCGCTAATCCAAGTTATCAGGCAGCTGGACAACAATAGGCACAGGGATTATTATCTTCCTTTCATGGATAGAAGATTGGATTTCTATTTAAATTGCCACAATTATTTCCAAATTTATACCTGTCCATTACACTTACATTTATATATTACATGTATAGATTATGCATTACATTATATGCAATATATACTTTGTGCAATGCTTGTGTTCTTTGTCTTCTTTATCGAATGAGTTTCCTCACTTTGACTTCAGTTTATGCCAACTAGCCCTATTCTATCTTGAGAGCCAATGGAGAGCTAAACCAAAGAGATTTGCTAAGGATGCAGCTGCAGCATAACCAGGAAAAGTTGCCATAGACCCTGTCAAAAGTAGAGAGGGGCCAACCTAACTAGCAGCAGTGACTAATGCAGTCTTCTTATTTCTCCCTCATATAATGCCCTGTAGTATGTTCTGGATGTTTCATTTTCTCAATTTATTTTTCCATCATTTTCCATACATTATATTTTAAGGGCACTGGAACATATCTAGAACAAAAGTAACCGAATGAACAGTATATTGGAAATCAAGTCCTATAAGGAATGGTTGAAATAGCTGTGCAAGTTTAGTTTTGGAAAAAAGTATTAAGGGTGCTTTCTTTATCTGAAGGGCTGGTAGGAAGAAAATAGAAGAAGTATATTCCCATTGCAATGATCAGAAATTCTAGAAGATGTACTTTAATTACATTTCAATAGCCATACTGGTATGTGTTCAAGTTCATTTTTTTTTTTGCTGTTGTTGTTTGGTATGATTAATATCATATACTGTTTTTTTAAACTTTTTAATTGGATTGTTGTTTTTAATTGTTGTAAGATACCCAGAGCCACTTAGGTGAGATGAGCAACCATATAAACCAGATAAATAAATATCCTACTTTTCTGCCCATAGAACACTCAAACCTGCTATTATAAAATGAAACAAGAAAACAGTTAAAATAGTTTTTAAAGCTTCAGGCAGTCCTTGACTTATGAGCACAATTGGGATGGAAATACAGATGTTGCAGTCATAAATCATGGAATCCATGTGAATGGACTCATTTTTTTGACATTTTTCATGGCAGTTATTAAGCATATCATAGTCGTTAAAGGAATGGTATAGTTAAACCCAATATTCCAAATGAATTCATTCCATTGCAAATAACAGTCATATGGCTGTAGGATGCTGCGACGAGTCATAAGTGTGAGCCGGTTGCCAAGTAACCAAAGTATGAGCATGTGACCATGAGGAAGAAGCAACATTTTGCCATAGCTGGAAGTTCAAGTCATAAAGCACCCATTCTAAGGCCATTGTAACTCCAGTCATAAAATGACCAGTTATATATCACAAACTACCTGTATTAGTTTACCTTAATAAACCAGTTCAAGCTACTCCACAATGTATCACAAAGAAATAACAGAATTGGAAACTAATTTATTTAAAGTAAGATAATATCCTTTTTTATGTTGATTTTAAAAATTGGGCTTTTTCACCGTTGGCTGCCTGGAGTGCAATAATCATGGCTTAATAATGAGACTGCGATAGAATTAGTCACATACCTTCATCACATACCTCCTTAATTAGTTATATTTGGATGCCATTTCATTTTTTGCTTGCTCATTTTAACCTTTGAGGTATTCAGAACCATGAACCAATTACAGCAAGAGCTAACGTAAGAACGATGATCAAGATAATGATTTACTACACTGGATCGCCTATCAGGGTTAAAATGACTCAAAATGATGCCATGGTTAGATAAAAAAAGTGAGATTTCTTTGGCTGCCTTGAGCCTTTGCGATTACATCTTTAACACATCAATAACTTACCCTCGGGTTATTGAGGCTTGCAGGGGCATGACTAATCGGCAGATGAAAGTGTCTTTCTGGGGATTAGCTCTAATGAAAAGAAAAAGGATAGTTATTTAGTTTGGTTGAAATCTTCCATAAATCAGAGCAAATACTGACAAAGCAGGTTCATACAGGAAGAATGAAGCTTTTGTAGGTGAAATTAAGGGAAAGGAAAGTTTTATATAAATCACAGGCTGAAGTTAGCATTTGTGAGAGAGCCTATGGGAACAAAACTATTTAATGTCAGGTGTTAAAAAGGATGTTTGGTTATTCTTAAAGCATTCCCCTTTTAAATAATAAAACATAGATAAATGGGGCATCATTATTGCTCTTTCTCTCTCCTTTTCTCTCCCTCCCTTCTGCCAGAATTACCACCCAGATTTTGCAGTGGACAATAATAGCCACCATGTGCTGCACAGGATTGCAAGCTGGTGGTATCGTTGGTGTTGTTAAGATTGAGACTGTCCAACTCCAGAATTATGGTTTACACTTTAAAAACAGAAATACATTAGAGAGACAATCTTAAGGGTCCAGACATCCATATACCAAAGATTTTTTAAAAAACCCAGCATGGACAAGGTTCCACAAACACCCAACCCCAATGTCTGACAGGACAGTCATATTTTTAAATCCACCCCAAAACCTTTGGGACATCACTGGCATGGGAGCTACATGGATTTTTGAGGGGTTACCATTTCAAAGAACAAAAGAATCACAAAGAAGCTCTCCTTTCCAATCCCAACCCCCATTGTTTGATTGAAGGGATTCAAAGCAAATTGACTCAGCCTGATCTTAACAAGACAGAAAGTATAGGAGACAGGTTGTCCCTCAACTATCTGGCACTATGCCATGAAGAACTTTCTAGTAATAACCAATCCTTGAATTGTACCTGGAAGCTCACCAGTAACAGCTCATGGGCAGTAGTATCATATGGTTAATACTGCCTACAATACTTTATTCTGGACTAATTTTAGCCTCTAAATGATTTTCAAGAGCAGGTCCATATAGAACACTGCAATAATTGAACTGTGCAGTAACTAAGGCATAATTGACTATCTAAGCGGTTTCACAATTCAGGAATAGGTACACAATTCTGGAATAGGCACAACTGGCATGCCAACTAAAGCAGTGCAAAATCCCACTTGGCCACAACCATTACCTGCTCTTTGACTAGAAGTTGCGAGTCCAAGACTCCAAACATCTAAATCTGTTTAGCTTCTAAGCTTACAGAAGTTCAGCCAGGAAAACTCACCTACTGAGGTTCCCAATAGAATTTTAAAATTGCTACCGGTATATTTTTTTGTTTTAAATTATGGCTGACTCATTTCATATGTTACTCCTTTACCAATCATATGGTATTAACTATTGATCAATATTACTCAGTCATTTATTATTGATGTTTTGGTTGCCCAGGAATATGCCCGTTTGACCAGTATATTGACTTCAGACCTTGATTTCATAGCTTAGATATTAAAAGAATAAATTGACCCATTGTACTGCAACTCTTAGAACTGATGATGTATGACTGATATGCCTTTTTCAAAATGCCCACCTGCTAAATGTTGATTTGCTTTGGGTGTCTTTGAGAAATTAATTTTAAGCCACCAATTATGAATATCATAAATGGTCATACTTCTTCAAAAGAATATTTATGAATATCATAAATGGTCATACGTCTTCAAAAGTATATTTTAAGCTGGAAAAAATACAAGAAGGGACAATTAAAATAATCAAGAGTTATAATGAAAAAAATATACAAAATCTGAGAGGTTTTTTAGATTAGACAGGAGGCTAATAGAGGTGAAGAAAGGTTTAAAAAAAAACACTTCTCCAGCAATGTTATACTCACATTGAAGTAAAATGCAGGGAGATTAGGATGTGAGTAATTCAGTTAGTTTTAAAAGTGAATCAGGCAAATTCATAGAAAAAAGCCTATATAGCACCTTGTTTTGATGGTTATGTTCTGATTTACAGGCAGCATACATTAAAATCAGCTACATCAGGGAGGAGAGGAGTTTGTATCCCATTGTCCTATTTTAGACATCCTTAGAAGGAAGAGACGACTATTCTGGGATGCAGAATGATGGACCAAATCATTCACTAAAGCATTGATTATTATTTTTTTAAAAATCGAGTAATGTTTTTCTGTCTATAAAGTAAACAAAAGTTTACATAATGTTTTTGTATCTGTGAGAAAGACTAGTGATTGTCTATTAAAGAGAATGATCAAGTACTGTTGTTCTCCCCATTCCTTAGTGTTTCCATTCAGGGACTCTAAATGTCAAGATGGCTGCTTTGATCACAAAGTCGCCATCTTAATTTTTTAACCCACCCACAGATGTCTCTAATTTTCATGAATCTCAAATGATAGTGAAGTTAATTTTTCTTGTAACTGGCTCAAAGATGTTATCTTACTCCAAAAAAGTTTCCAAGGGTGTATTGTGAATACATTTTGGTTAATTATACAGAGCTGCTAACAATCAAAGGATTTTTTTTAATGTGTCCATGCTTTTCTTAATATTAACATATTGTCATGTATAAAATATTTGATGAAAAAGATGAGCTAGCTGTTTTAGAACCAGCTCTGTCCATGTGGTATGAATAACTATGAATTCTTAATAGAGCATAACACAAGTCACAAATAAACAATTCCAAGACTTTAATAAAGCAGCCAAAAGAAATGATTATATTATATATTCTTAACACCTTCTACATTTAAAAAATCTGTTTTTTCAAATTTATGCTTTGGTTTTAAATTACTTGGGTTTGACATTCTGAGTCAGCAAAGAAAGAACCTACAACAAAGAGGATTTCTGGAGATGCACTGCCATAGCAAAGGCTGAAACAAGCTGCAGTCCTGTGGGAGAAATGCATATTCAGCATCCTGTCAGTGTGCTTTGCCATTGACTTTCTGGTTGCTAAGGAACAGCCTTGGACAAGCTATTGCCCTTCTGTCCTAAGGGTGGGATTCCCAGACTCGTTCAGCTGGCCACTTTAAGAAATGGAAGGTTAGACAACATCCATCTTCAAGTAGAGTTTTTGTATTCAATTTGTGGGTCCATGGATAGCATTCTCACTGAGATCTTGGTTTCTAAAGAACTTGGCTTTGTAGTTTCCTTCTCTGAGTAAGAAGTATTGCCTTGTCAGGCAACATTTACCACACTTGCCCACATCTATATTTCTAGTGGTCATCTAACGCTGGAGCAGAATAAATTTTATTTTATTAGTCCAATTTATATGCATATAAAGTACACATGCATGAAAATATTCATGCATGTGTACTCTATCCAGTTAGTGGCATCTAAGCTAAGCATCACGTACCTCTTTAGTTTAGGCTTAGTATGTAAATTCAGTACAAGTGTGTGTGCGTGCGTGCGTATGTATCAGAGGTGGATTTCAGCAGGTTCTGACCAGTTCTGGAGAACCGGCAGTGGAAACTTTGAGTAGTTCGGAGAACCGGTAGTAAAAATTCTGACTGGCCCCGCCCCAATCTATTCTCTGCCTCCCAAGTCCCAGATGATTGGGAGAAAATGGAGATTTTACAGTATCCTTCCCCTGCCATGCCCACCAAACCATGCTCACCAAGCCATGCCCACAGAACCGGTAGTAAAATGTTTTGAAACCCACCACTGGTATGTATGTGTACGTATATATATGTATGTATGTATGTATGTATGTATGTATGTACTATATGTATGTATGTATATATGTATGTATGTATAGGCATAGGTATATATGTATAACACAAAATATTATAATAATCAGCATGCGACATTTCCTAATACTATCTTTAGTACAAATCCATAATGATGAATGGGAAATATGTAAACATATTTTGTCCAGAAGTTTTATAATTTGGGATATATATTAAAATGATTCAAGCCCTCATGAACTGATTGAAGAGATGAAGAAACCTTGTATCTACTCTACACACGGCAATGGATTAAACACATATACTGTAAGCTTTGGGATAATAGAATTCTCTTTGGAGGAGAAGACTGGAGCAAAATAGGTATTTTTTCTTATTATTTTCTTATTATTGCTATCCTAGGAAGAGGGTTACGACTTCCTTTTCTCTCCTTTTACATAGTCTTCCTTTTCTCTCCTACATAGTCAGGAAGTCCATTTTGTTGCTTTTAGCTTCCTTTGAATTCTCTAAGTGCTTTAGCCCAAGTTACTTTTTACCGATATTACTACTTATTTGTACAATTCCTTGGTGATCATGCCTATTTCCCATATCTTATACATGTTCCCTTTAATTCTTAATTCATTCAAAATAGGAAGGAAGGAAGGAAGGAAGGAAGGAAGGAAGGAAGGAAGGAAGGAAAACAATACTCTAATGGTTTCCTAAACTGACTCCTAGCTGCACTTTTCCTTGTAAGAATGATATGCAATTGTACTTCCAGTATCTTATTTTTTAAAAGTTCCCAACCCTCCTGTATTCACATTTCCTTTGACCTCAGAATTTCCTTTGACCTCAGAATTTCTGTCCATGGAATCAGTATTTCTTTACGGTTGTTGAACTTGGATATTCAGAAATGTTATGTGCATAAAATAACTAGATTCCAATTTTAATTTCAGCAGCATTTGACCCAAGATGACAAAGTCACTTCCTCCCAATGTTCATGCTGTCTTTGCCTCTTGAGTGAAATCTCTGTTCGTTAGGATCACATGTAGGAAAGCCTGTTGGCTTTTGGAAAATGAGACATTGAGCAAGATGATAGAGGAGTTTTTAGGATGTGGTAAACTTGACTGTTGTAGATATTTTGATATTATCTACCAAATTAAAATTTTAATTTGTAAAGTAACTATATTTAAAATAATTTCTTCTCAGCAACTGGGAGACAGTAGGTTGCTTTATGATCTAAATTTTAAAATAAAATATATGATTAATATGGATGGACACACCCACATTCACATCAATTTATCATGTGAGTGAACATTTGCTTATATTTGGAGATGATTTTGGGCCAGGTACATTGCCACAAGTGGAGGTGGAGGAGGAATACAATCTCCTAGCAATGTCTATTTTGCTGTGGGAGATAAAGAACTTGATACAAAGCGCAGTTAGTTTCTATGACCCACAGGTACTTGGAAGTTGCATCCATTTGAATCTCTTGTTTCAGACTGGCATGGGGAAAGCCAGGACATTTGAGACCTATCTTCTTAGCCACTGAAAATTCAGCTTAGTGCTGGTTCCGACTGCTGAGTCTTTATTTCCATGCGTCCAATGAAATTCATCTTCAACATAAATTGCCATTTTTAATAGCCTTAAAAATATTAGTACAGATTTTTTTAACATGCTGAATTATACTCAAAGCCTTGCAGCTGGATAGCAGGGCAAACCATAGGCGTGTGTGCTTCAGACTTCAATATTGGGCATGATCTGATAAACAAAGCTCCACCACTTTTTACCTGTATACAAAAAGAGTTTCAATTCCTGGCCACACCTGCCATTTTGACCTTGTTAATCTCCCTTGAAAGATGGTATATCTTTTTTATCTCTTTTTAATGAAGTGATCTTTCCCATACTTCCAAAATGACACTAAAATGCCTAAAATGCATGATTCCTTATACAAGGAATCCCTACGTTTCCCCATGCAAAATAGTATAGTTAATGACTGGATAAATTTTATAGGAGTTACATTGCTACACTGACCTTTGAAGGAGTTATTCAAGCACAACAGCATACAAGGCATCACTTCTATCTGTGCATATTCTGTGTTCAAAATTCAAGATGATTGTTCATGATATTAAAGTCCTAGATTGATTAATTGATTGATTGATTATTTTTTTTATTTCTAATTTATATGGTCACTCATCTCAACAGCCCTGTACAATACATGTAATAAATGGAGCTTTGATGGCATGTATATGGATGCCATCTTGACTTTTTGACATCTAACCTTACCCCTTGCAGATAGCTTATGTTCATGAAAATTCTTATTATATATTAGATTTTACTGGGGTTTTTTTGTTTAGCAAATGTGCCTATCCACATTTTTCTTGCTAATTTTTAAAACAGTTTTTGAACATATAAAAAATAGGACTCCAGAATATGAGAAGACATCCCTTTCATTGCAGACAGCTGCAGGATGGAAAGTACAGTGTAATTGAGTTCTTGCTATTAATAGCAGGTGATATATAACAAATCTGATTTCAGTCATTTACAAGTCAAGAAAGAGAGACACAATTGCTCTATAATGAATTGATGAGATTTTACTGCATTGGATATGGATCAGAATGCAGTGACTAAAAACACTCAGTTGATACAATGGTGGGGCAAATAAAAACACAGAACAAAGTAAAAAAAGTGTTTCACACAATGGAGAACAGAATTGAGGAGACAAATGTTTCATCAGTCAATAAACACAAAAAGAAATTTAAAAGCACCACAGTTTTCACCTGAAATATGTTGGAACTAATCATTAATATATAAGCAAATATATTGTTTGAAACAACTATAATGTAATAGTGGGAACAATGTATAATGATGACATAAAAACAAACTATATGAAGACAACAACTAAAATTATCATAGCACTACCCTTGATTAATTTGAAAATATTAACATTTACTTTTTTGAGGAGATAAGCTGAATTTGTTCTACATTACAAAAAAGTAAACTTAATTCATTGTTGACTTCTAATTTTCCCTGAGTTGGATTTAACTGTAAACTTAACTTCATATACCCTTCTGGGTAAACTGTTAATTACTTGCTTTTTAAGGACTCCAGTTATTGGATTAGATTTTCAATATTTCTGGAGCAGCCTAAATAATTAATTTTTTTTTTCTGTGTGGCTAGGAAAAAAAGTCAATATTTTCTTTCTTTTCCTCTTGCTCATAAACAGTACCATGAATATTATGGTACTGTCTCCACATAAGACTGAAATAATAGTATTAATAATTGATTTTATTCCTTTCTACTTACACATCATATTGCCTGATGTCACGTTTATAAGGATGTAGTGACAGTCATGGGTGCTGGGATGTTCCTAGATGATGGCCTTTGAATCTTTGCAGTCCTGAGCAATTGTGCTTCAGTTAGTCTGTTTATAGTCTAAATTTTCTCCCAGATGCTTGACACTTCTGAAAGATTAATACATTAACAACAGCAGTAAAGTCCAGGTTTGCACATCTTCAAGACATTTTTATTAGCAAATGGCACATGAGATTCAAAGGTCACCTCAAGGGGAGACTTTTTAAAGTTGAACAATAATATTTATGTTCAGATACTATGCTGGTGAGATCATGTGGTAAATGGTTCTGATTAAATGAGCTAAGACAACCACTACATATTAACTGAAAATTCTCATTCATTTCTTGCTTTCTTGTGTGTTGCCCACTTTCTAAAAATATCTGCCTGGCCATACAGATTCAAAAAAAGCAGGAATAAAATCCAATTATCTTATCATATCCTATGCTTGAATAATTTTGTTTATATTGGCAGCATGTAAATTTAATAATTAATTAAAATAAATTAAACGCTGGTACCAGTTGAAGTATCTTCCTCTAAGAATATACAGGAAAAAAAGTATTTTCATATTTCCATTATTCTATTAGCTACTCATTAATCTGACATGTTTCTATTATATATGAATATCATTCTGGCATCTGATCAACCACTTGGGGTTTCATCATTATATACTTTAAATCAGAAGCTAAATCTTTATCACCTTATATAATAGTGATCACTTTCCTAGATAGATGGAAGCAAAAATAAGATTGTGAGATTCCCTATTTTATTAATGTCCTAGCAGAACAGTAACTCTGGAAGATGGTGATGAAAATAAGCATTATGTTTTAAGGTTTCTTGAAAAAAGACCATCTGGAA